AAAGGAGCAAGAGGCAATAGATGATCTAGCATCTGCCCCTGGCAGGCAGGCTTGAATGGTGGTGGGACACTTCGAGCAAAACGTAATGCCTAAAAGCAGAGAGAGAGAGAGAGAGTATTGGGGAAACTGTCTGCCATGGAGGCAGGGTGAGGACTGGGAGGGGGCGGGGGATATACTGGGGATGCTGGAGGTGGAAAGTGTGCATTGGTGGAGAGATGGGTGTTTGATCATTGTACAGCTGAATCTCGAACATGAAAGCTTTGTAACTGTATCTCACAGTGAGTAAAAAAAAAAATAATGTGGAGTTTATGCCCAATTCAATTAGCTTAATCAATGGCTGAATAAATAGCAGTACTCCTACATTAAAAAAAGAAAAAGAAAAAGAAAAAAAGAACAGTTATCCTCGCCGCTGGAGCGATGGCACAGCGGTCTTTGCCTCGCATGCGGTTGACCCGCGTTCCATTCCTCTGCCCCTCTCAGAGAACCCAGCAAGCCTCTGAGAGGATCTCGCCCGTACGGCAAAGCCTGGCAAGCTACCCGTGATGTATTCGATATGCCAAACTCAGTAACAAGTCTCACAATGTTACTGGGCCCACTTGAGCAAATCGATGAACAACGGGAGGACAGTGACAGTGATCCTCTCGTCTGTGCTCACACAGGTGCCAGAGAAACAGGAGCCCCATGTCACTGCTGCGGGAGGCATGTGAGCTACCATGAACAGGGCGTGTTTCCGAGGGCTTCCATCTGTGGGGTTGGTTGGGTGAAAGATTCTCTTCTGGGGCAGCCACTGCCCTATCCATCACTCACCGGCCCTGCTCCACTGAGGAAATGCAGGCCAGGCAGCTAACATTCACGGACATGCCGGTTCCCACAGCTGAGAGCCCTGGGGCACCCTCAGGAGGGGGTGGGCTAAGTTCCCACCCTATAGACGCCCCAGCAGCCGCACCCACACCCCACCACCACAGCCATGCCGAGGGCTCAACTCCACCGTTTTCCTCTAACGCTCTCTGCAGAGATGCCAAAGTGAAAAAAAAAATTATAGGTATTCCAGTGCCCAGGCTGAGAACTGGGGGATCTTTTCAACTCATTGGCCCAGAACACAAATCCTAAATTGCCCGACTGCATGGTCACTCTGTGGCCACGTGACACCTCCAAATTCATCACTACTGAAATTCCAGTAGGAGCACCCCGAATTACATGAGAAAGTAGCACAGACGCCAACTAAACAAGAGATAACACAACGCTCAGCTGGCAAATAGCAGCTTCATCAATCCTCAGACCAAACAACCCCCTGGTCCAAGATAGCAATTTTCACAGATTTTCTTTCACCAAAGTATTTTTGATAATCTCTTTAGCCATGTAGTCGCAGCCAGCAATACAAAATAAATTACCATGTGCCTTCAAAGGGGGCAGGCTTGGAAGGTGGCTTGGTAAATGAGGACAGTGGTCGAGGAAAGGCCACTCTGGTTGGTGTCTGACTATCGAAAGCCAGTAATAGCTGTATTGTGCACGACTTTGTAAACCACGTGTTCAAGTAAAGTGTCTTATTAACCCAAAAAAGAGAAAAAAAATTCTCTGTTGTCCCAGTGGGCCATTAACTGTTGGCCCCATTATTAGTGTCTTTTCTCATCTTGTAAACATTGTTTATTTTTATTTGGGGCCCCTGAAGCCCTGGGGAGGAGGCCCAGAGGCACCATTGTCCATTCTTGGCTAACTGGGCCTTTGGTTCTCAAGGACTCAAAGATGGGAAGCCGCTGTGAGTGCTGCAGTGCTGGGGGTGCCTAGGCCACCCCGGAAGTGCTGAGGGCCCCCAGGTCCACCCCAGCGATGCCTGGAGCCTCCAGGGAAGCACCTGGAATTGCTGTGGGGAGAGAGGGGACCATTATGCTGTGCCAGAAACCGCACCCTAACCACTGTACTATCTCCTGGCCCCAGTAAAGCTGATCCGTCTGCCCCCAGAATGCCCCGTGAACACAGAGAGGAGATCAGGGACATCTGGGCTTCCCGTCTGAAATGTTTAACTTCATCCCATCCTGGTATCTCTACCCCAGGCATCCGATCTGTGTCGAATTCCACCCTGTGGCAGCCCATAACTGGGAAAGCAGAGGGTGGATTCTGGGACATCAGCATTTGTCGGATGGTAAAAGAAGTTTGTGAGAACACAATCTAATTTGTGGTCTCCTGTCAAACCGGGCCAAGATCTCCCCAGAGGAATCACGTGAAGATGAGTTGCAATGCAATAAGCAAAGGGTCTTTATTGGCTAGCTCGAACTAGGGTCCAAGTCCCATCCCACACAGTGTAGTCTTGACAAGGACCCCGACTCCAAATCACAAGCAGTTTATATAGGATTCAGAGTTAAGAGCAGTGGTCTGTTTTTATTTTATTTATTTATTTATTCATTCATTCATTCGTTTATTTTTGCTGTTTGGATCACACTTGGCAATACACAGGGATTACTCCTGGCTCTGCACTCAGGAATTACTCCTGGCGGTGCTCAGGGGACCATATGGGATGCTGGGAATCGAACCCGGGTCAGCTGTGTGCAAGGCAAATGCCCTACTCACTGTTCTATTGCTCCAGCCCCAATACTGGTCTATTTTTAGCATTGGCTGTATTACATCAGTGATCAGCAATCCGACAGCAGGTACCAGTCACAGTTTGGGGTTCTTTCCCAGAAGGGTGGGGCAGCCCCTCATGACTGTCCAGATCCAACTGCCCGGTTTCTTATCTAGGTGAATTACTCAATTGGGGATTTACCAGAAACTGCAAGTCCTGCCTCGGGGAACCAGGAACTGAGGCCTCGTTGAGACTCAGTGTTCGTTGCAACTTGTCATGGCATCAGTTTTGCCCTCACACTCCCATGCTGTAGTTCCCAGCCATCAGGGTGGGCTTCCAGTGGAAACATCCAAACAGGAATAAGCACTTTGCCTATAAATGATTTTCGCTTTTCGAGAAGGTTGCCGCTGGCACAGGAAACCTCATCCTCCTCCCCGCATTTGTGCCAACGCACTGTGGACTCATTACTACCTGGACGGGGCTTGCTTTGCCCCCCGCCAGCGGTGAGGGGACGGATTTTTGACCATCAGCATGTAATATCCTTCCCAAAGCCCGCGGCGGGGGTGGAAGGGCTGCTGACAAAGCCCTCCTTCCCGCTCGCTCTCATCCTGCTGGCTAAACGAACGCGTGTCTTCCGCGTTATGAAAACGCCGCCTCCAGCAGATGATTTGTCTCCTGCTCCCTTTCCCGTAGCGTTTTATGGGGACGCAGGCTCCTCTCGCCAGGGTTGTATGTAGGTCACCGTGCGGTGCTCACAGCTTTGGCAACTGCATCCTCATCATTGTGGTTTTGGAACAGATCTGGGCCCCCAGGGGAGGAGGCCTCAGAGGGGCCCTTGGGCCTGAACATCTTGACCACTCAGGAGAGGGGTGAGTCTGCCAGCCCGCTTGCAGTAGGGATGCAGATGTGCGCCAGGCTGCTCTGGGGGTGTCAGTAGTGAGCCCTGGTGGCTGCTGTGGCCAGGCTGGCGTTGCCCGCTGGTCTCATGTCCTTCTGGGACTCCAGGGGGCGCTGTCCTGGGCAGGGGCTGCCAGTGCCTTTCTCTGTCTGCAGGACCATGTGCTGCTTTTCCTGAGACCCAGCTGGCATTGTCGGAGATGCAGGGCTCGCTGCTGGCTCGTCTGGGCCTATAAAAAGTGTGGTCCAAGAGTTCTTTGGGAAAAGTGGATGGTCCCCAACGGGGTGCTTCGGAGGGCCCCAGCACAATTCCCAGCCAAGCTAGCCAGTGAGCACTCATACATGCCCTGGCCCAGGGCCCAGGGACAGAGGGGCCCAGGGTGCTGTTGGAAGTCCAAGGCGGATGGGTCCCAGAGGCAGCGCACATCAGTCCCACGGGAGTCTCTGACATCACAGTGCGGAGAGAGAACCCTGGCTTTGAACTCCTGCCCAGCCAGCTCAGAAGCGTCCAGTGACAGCCTCCTCTGATGCTCACTCCCAAGTCCCTGCCTCTATTCCATCACTGACAGGGCATTTACCTGAGGAGAGCGCTGAGGGGGGACTTGGATGAAGTGGGGTGAAGCGAGGGAGGGTAGTGCCAGTCCCAAGAGGGCCAGAGTGCCACCAACTTCTGGCTCCACCTGCCTCGATCACCCGGAGCAGTGTCGGGAGGGGCACCTGCACAGTGGGGATGCCCGTGTCCCGCCAGACTCACAGGGCAACCCTTGGGATGCCCCCGGGTTCCACTGGGTTTTCCCGACACGAGGGGTGGTCCCTGGTGCCCCACTTCGCGGGGAATCATGGTACCAGACTGGAGTGAGGAGCTGCTCTGTGGAGGAGGAGGAATCCCAGCCACTTCCTGGCTCTCAGGTCGCCTGTCCTCCCCGAAGAGAATTTCAGGAAGGAGGCCGATAGCGGCTGTCCGCAGCAGGCCTGGGGGTCAGCCCACTGGACATGACAGAGCTGCCCTGTAGCTGCATCAGGAACCCAGCACCCCCTGACCCACAGTGGCCAACCCCTTGCCACGCCTGCACTCTCTATTCCAAGAGGCCACGGGACTGAAGGACAAGCTGATGGTCACTTTCTAGCGAATCTCTCCAAGCTAAGAGCTCACTTCCTGGCAAGGCTGGGACTGTGGGCGCCTTGGAAGTGCTGCTGTGGCTGGACTCGGGCTCTGTCCCCTCAACCTCCCAGGGAAGCGGGCAAGTGGTGTAGAGCAGGGAGGGAGCTGTCTTCACGGAGTGCAGGGGGACCCTCGCTGGACTCCGTGCCTCGATTGTACCTGGAGGACTTTTCACTTTCCTGCCAGGGTCTCATCCAAGTTGGGGTGGGGGTGTTGTGGCTTCGAAGAGGAGTCTGATTATCCACCTCCCACTCCCTCGCAAGCACGTGACGTGGGGACATTTTTAGTGGAAGACATGGGCAAATCCGGCTGGGCTCCCGGGTGGTGTGGCTGGCTCCTGGTGGTGACTGACTTCCTGCTCCTCCTGTGTCTCCCTGCTGGCAGCTGCCCATACCTCGCGGTGAAGATCACCCCGGCCATCCCCGTGGTGGGCGGCATCCTGTTCTTCTTCGTCATGGGGACCCTGCTCCGCACCAGCTTCAGTGACCCCGGGGTCCTGCCACGAGCCACGCCCGATGAAGCTGCCGACCTGGAACGGCAAATAGGTAAGTGGGCGGCCGCCCCCCTCCCCGGCCCCCCAGGGGCTGGGCCATGCTAGGCAGTGACGAGTGACCGCAGCGTCCTAGCAGTCAGTGTCCCCTTGACCGCAGGTGGCCTGCGCGGGCAGCAGATGGGAATGGTCCTGTGCTTACCGCTGGGTTCTGTGGTTGGAGGGAGCCACCCTTAGCCCCCTCATTCCCACGGGGACCTAATTGCAGCATCCTTGAGGCACCCTCTGGAAAGGTGACCTCAGCCACCTGGCCCACAGTCTGGAAGGTTCTTGGTCCAGGTGCTTCCCAGGTGGGCTTGTGTGAGATCTGGGGGGCACGCGTGCCTTCTGTTTCCCATGGGGGTGAACACCCCCACCTAGGGGACTCACCACACCAGCCCCAGGAGACAAGCTGGCTAATCCAGGGGAGGTCTCATTGGTCCTTGCTAACCCGCACGGGATGTTTTCCAGCTGTTGCTGTTGAGTGTGTGCTGGTCATGGTACCCGTGCACGGACTGGGGGTGGCAGGGGACCATGAGATGGTGCAGGCTGGTGGCGGGCATCAGCGACCACTGGACAGAGGTTTGCTCTCACGGGCTCTGCTGGGTGGCCTGATCTCCCATGCCCATCCCTGAAGCCAGGCTGGGTCCCTCTACCCCTCTGCCAACTCTGCCTCCATCCTTCATCCCTCACCACTCGGGTCATTGATGGGACCCTGGGGAGGGGCATTGGGAGGTCAGGAAGATGCAGACGCTTGGGTGCCTCACTATGGCAATGGACGCTAGTGGACCGCTCTCCCCTAGCTTCAGAGGCGGCCTTCCTCAGGCTGGGATGAGAATCTGTGCCATGTGGGAACAGGAATGCCACCCCGGCCACTACAGGGAGAGTCTCTGTCAAGCAGAGAGTGCCCCACTGAGGGTGCAGAGTGGGCTCTGCTCTCCACTGGACCTGGGTCCCCTCTTGGAGTGTGGGCGCAGGGATTCCTGAGAGAGGAGAGCGTGGCTGGGAGAAGTGGATCCGGGGGGGTTTCCCAGTGTTGGGGGCACCCCCGTTTCTCACACGATGACGTGTGTGTGGAGGCCGTGGACGTATGCGGGGTGAAGGGGCATTTTGGAGTGATTTCATCATCGTCTCCTCATAGGAAGTGGCTGGCCAGGCTGCAGGCAGGTTCCCTGCCCTCTGGGGCCTCCTCCCACCCCTGCCTGCTCCTCCATGCACCCCTGCGGTTCCTGTGGTCGGGGAGGGACAGTCACAGGACAGCGAGAGAGGACCCAGGTCAGCACTGGCCGCAGCCTGCTGTGCCCTGGGCTCGGGGAGAAGGGGGTGCAGGAGCCACCGGGGTCCAGGGGGGCCTCTGTCATCTACTCACGGGTCCAAGACAAGGTGCACGAGTTACATGTTAAGGCTCTGGGTTTGAGCACGGTGAGGCCGTCCCACAGCTCCCGCTGAGAAACACGTTTACGCGCCAGACTTGGTGGTGAGTCCGCTTTACAGAACAGGGAGGAAAATTCCAGAGGTGAATGGGGCTTCGCGGCAGAACCAGAGCCCAGTGGGGCTCAGTGTTGACACAGATCCCAGTGGGGAGCAGAGATCCCACCTCTTAGGGAGACAGCCAGCCGAAGGAAACGGGTCGGCAGCCACGACCCAGTGCACGGGGCTGCGAGACCCTCCACGCACAGTGCTCTGAGAGCCCGACCCTGCTGTCCCTGGTGTTTTCTTGCTAAGATCCTGCTCTGCCCCCAGAACGGCCAAACTCGAGGGGGCCAGAGGCATTTTCCTATGAAAGGGCCAGAACCAAGCCCTGAGGGCTTCTGGTTGTTGTTGGTGTGTGCATGCGTGTAATATGTGTGTACATGTGTGTGTACATGCTGTACGTGCATGTACATGTGTGTACATGTTGTGCGTGTGTACATGTGCATGTGCATATACATGTGTGCATAGGTGTGCGTGTGCATGTGTACATGTGTATATACATGTTTTTACATGTGTATACATGTGTGTGTCTGTGTGTGTCTGTATATGTACATTTGTGTGCGCATGTGTACATGTGTGCATGTGTGTTCTTATTGTAGCTTTCTTTTTCTTTGTTTCAGTGCCAGGCCTCATGCAGGCCAGGTAGGCCCTTTGCTCCTGAGCCTCATCCCTGGACATTCTTTTAAGCTAAATAACTTTCCGAGTGGCATTCTCGACATGAAGTTTGGTGTTCATTTAATTTTTTGTGGGGCTGGGGATGAAATGCTCAGGGCTTCTTCCTGGCTCCGGAGTGACCCCCAGGGACCTAATGCAGTGGCAGGGGTTCAAACCAGGGTACACTGTGTCCAAGCACAGTGCTCTAACTCCTGGGCTCTCTCTCTCTCTCTCTCTCTCTCTCATCACCTCAACATGAATTATTTTTAAGAGTAACTGTGATGTTGTTCCCATTGTTCATCAATTTGCTCGAGTGGGCCCAGTAATGTCTCCATTGTGACAGTTGTTACTATGTTTGGCATATCCAAAGATGTGACCTTATAAGAGAACTACATGTGAGGGAGTACGTTCCCCCCTCGGACAAAAGGACGGAGAGTTTGAGACGGGGGACGTTAGTGCATCCGTGGACAGTTATCTGTTACTAAAGGCCTTTTAGAAACAGATAAAACTGGACCAAAGGGTCCTGGATAGGCACATCCTGGTACTGGGACGCGATGGTGTTGGGTAGTGAGTACACGCATCCCCCAGCATGCGGCAGCTCCCATCCCCAGCCCGGAACCAAAGGGGAGGAATTCCACCTGCGCATGCGTACAGAGCTCTTTTTCCAGAAGTTTTCCTGTTTGCCGACAGAAAACAAGCAACTGACTCCAAAGCGCACAGGAGTGAGGGTCGGGGGAGGGTAGTGCCATTGAGGAAACTGACAAACAGTGGAGAAAGCCTGAGGGAAGGCGGGTCTCAGAGGAGGGGGACATGAGCCACAGATGGAGCCTAGAATCTTCTAGAAAGTGCAGGGTACAAAGACCAGAGCCAGGGTTGAGAGTAGGCGTTTCACCACCTGCTTCGGAAATGTGAAGGATTTTAACTTTACTAGAAAACTTAGATGCTTGGGTGAATTCTTAAGAGAGTAACACTTACTCACCCACCCAACCCCACAAAATAAATAAATAAATAAATAAATAAACAAATCACTGTCACTGTCCTCCCATTGTTCATCAATTTGCTCGAGTGGGCCCAGTAATGTCTCCATTGTGACAGTTGTTACTATGTTTGGCATATCAAATATGTCACGGAGAGCTTGCCAGGCTTTGCCGTGTGCGTAAGATACTCTTGGTAGTTTGCCGGGCTCTCCGAGAGGGGCGGAGGAATCGAACTCGGGTCAGCCGGACCGGTTGCATGCAAGGCAAACACCCTACCTGCTGTGCTCTCGCTCCAGTCCAAATAAATAAATAAACAAACAAATAAAATTCAAGAAAAAAAATGGAAAAGTGGAAGAAACCCTGAAGAGTAGAGAAACTGGTATCATTTGTCAGCAACTGAACCTTAGTCCTCATTTTGACACCAGACACAAAAGTGAACCAATCATAGACCGAAATCAAAGAGCTGAAACTACAGGACTTCTGAGGAGAGCAGAAAAGAATTTAGTGACCCCAGGCGAGGTGCACAGAACAGTCCTTGGATGTGACACCCAACGCAGGATTTGTGAGAAGGGAACAGGCATCATTTCAGTCTTACCAGATGAAAAAAAGCTCTGGTGCTCAAAATACCCCGTAGGGGAATGGACAGAAACTGGATTGTGCTGAGGAGCCCCGGTTAGCACGTACAGATGAGGACATGTAAGTCGGCAGGCCTGAGATTACAGAAGGGTGTCGGCCGGTATTACTCAAAAAACATGAGGAGTGGACTCGTCAGGAGAGACTTCAGAGGGGTGAAGTGTGCTCCTTGCACGTGGCCAAGCCTGAGGGAGTCCACAGCACCATGTGATCATCCCAGCATCAATGGGATCGTCCCTGGGAGCCCCTGAGCACCAGCTTGTGGCCTGGGTGATCCCTGGCACTGCAGGGCCCAGAAGCACCACATCCCCAGGATCCCACATTGAACCACTGGCCTGGTTGGCTGCACACTGATGGAAGAGACAACCACCCCCTCCCCCAGGCCTCCTGAGCACTGCTTGGTGCGTGTGGGAGGGTCCCCTCCTGAAAAAGACACTGCCGGGAATATGAAAAGGCAAGTCACAGACCGAGAAAATATCTTCCAGTAACATATATCAAAAGTACCGTGCACGTGTATCTATAACACATACAGAATCTCTCATTACTCGGTAATCAGAACCCACTGAAGGAGAGAACATTTCCACTGTTTTTTTTTTTTGTCAGAAATACAGAAGGGGCCAATCAGCACACGAGGATGTGCTCCGCATTAGTCGATGTTGGAAAATGCAATCAAAACCACCATCAAATGCCATTTTCACCCATTACCAAAAAAAGTGTTTCTTAACTCACACTGGCTGATGCCCTTCTTTTGGTCTCAAGGCTGGTGACTTACTGTCCTCATGTCTTTTGGCTCTACCAATAAAAGACTGACGTAGCAAATATTGGGAGGACATGGGGAAATGGAACCTTTATGTGCAGTGGGTAGGAGGAGTCACCCTTTTATTCTTTTGGGGTCACACAGGTGATGCTCAGGGGTTCCTCCTGGCTCTGCACTCAGGCATTACTCCTGGCAGTGCTGAGGGACCATATGGGATACTAGAGATAGAACTTGGGTCGGCCGCGTGCAAAGCAAATGCCCTACCCACTGTACTATTGTTCCAGCCCCCCTGGCTGGATTTCCAGCGAGTTCTCAACCCATTTCTCTGCTGCGCTCCAAGACAGAACATTGAAAAATGAGCTTTGGAAACTTCTTATGATCGGGGTCATTAATCCTAATTATCTGCTGTCTGTCTCTGTTCCGAGGAGCCCGGCGAGCCCCAAGGCTCTGGCAGATTCTGGAGGGAGGAGGCGCTGTCTGGGGGTCCGGGCTCTGTCTGGCGCAGTCTCTTGAAACGCTTCC